ATAAGTTAGGGAAAGTAATGAGAAGAATGGTTATAATGGTCGAACTCAAGTCAGCTTTGCGCTGAGTTGGAACGACCAAAGTAAATGTTGTACTTACATTATCGATGAAGATTCTGAAAAAAATAAAACAACAACAACAAAACTCCGAACGTTATGCGCTGGAAAGTGGGAAGATTACGCAGTTCAGTCCTTTTCGGAAGTCATAAAATTCCTTTACGGGCATTAAAAGTATTTCTTTCTTTCTTTATTCTTTAATAGCAGTAGAGCCCGACTGAGCAGTAGAGCGTTGACTGGGGATATAACAGTAAGAGATAGATCAAGTATCGACCATCATAAAGACTGAAAAATAAAATTGATAAAGATTATTGTTTAAGGTTGACGGACACGCATGTCTTAATTAGTTTTTTTGTTTTTTTTACGAATGGGTCAAACCCAAACTCAAACAAAAGCATTGTTTTCAATCGTTATGAGTCTACCGATTGAATAGAATTTTATTATAAACAATTGTCTTGTAAATGGAATTTTTAAAGCATTCTGAATGTAAAAATAAAGAAAAAAAGTGTGCAAGACAATAAGAAACACTACCTGCCAAAAAAAAAGTGAAGTTTTGTTGAAATCGGTTGAAAAAATGTAGGAAATCCGATCCCATATATAAACGAACACAGACACACACACACAAACCTGGGTTTTATAATAAGTATAACTCGATATGAATTGTCCCCCTTTCATTCTCGACAGCGAGACCTCTTAATCGTGTTTTCAAATTGATTTCGTGCAAAAACAATTGTGTTTTTCCGATTTTCGGCGCTGTCTGAACCACCGCAAGGTAATTTTACGTAGTCCTGTGAAGTTTTGTTGAAATCGGTTGAAAATATAGGAAATCCGATCCAATATATAAACGAAACAGACACACACAAACACGCACACACACAACCTGGGTTTTATAATAAGTATGATTATTATTTTATGTATTGATTTTATTTCATTTTCCCGCAACATATCCCTGCCCAGAAGCGGAGCTCTACACATGTATTTATTTTGATGAAATAGAAAAACTCATTTTGCTTGGAAAATATAACCCATCTTCCTGAAAGTGTAGTTCTAGTCGGAGTTTGAGTCATAAATTGCTGTAAATTAGACGAGTCTCCATCTGAAGTGTCTTCCTCAGCAGATAATTCATCTGTGGCAGTATCATTATCAGTGAGTGGTGTTTGCTTTGGTTTGGGATCATATCCGTTTTCATAATTAGTATTAGTTCGTTGACTAAGGTAAGATTTCTCAACAGGGCCCATATGGCCCCCTTGGGTGCAATGAGGTATATTTCAGGGGTCACAAGGCCAAGTTTGAAAAATGTGGGGCCACGAGGGGAATCAGATAATTTAGGACACATAAAATATATATATGGAGTATTTTGTAATTAATTATTATTATTTAAAATAAAAAAATAATTTTATTAAGTTAAATATTAAATTAATCTAAGCTATTTTGTTAACATAAATATTTATTTATTGTAATTTTTTCAGATGATCTATGCAAAATGGCCGTTTTTAGTTTTCAATTTCTTAAAATTTAAAACTCATAATTTAAAGTTTAAATTAAGGTATGTTTTCACCAACTTGTCTTTTAATTTTGAAAAGCTAAATGTCCTGAGCAAAGAGCTCCAAGGAAATGACTTCACCCTCAACTCAAGTTGGTATGAGGAGCCATAAAGAACACGCATTGGATTGAAGAGGGCCACGACCAGAATAAGGTTGAAAAACACTGTACCAAGTTCTCCCAACGTTAAGTTTCTAGCAGCATCTCTCATTCTATTATTGTAAGAGGCAATGTTTGTGTGAAACAGTGTCTGACCAAGTCTACACCCACTCCGAATTGATCGGCTATTAACTCTCTTGGGTAGTTGGAGGGTCTCCCTGACATCTTCGTGTCGTTTATTATCTTCTCAAAAAGCTCCCATTTGGTTGCCTCTTAGCTTGTGAAGGCAGTCTCTTTCAGATTCTAGTTTTTTTTTTCAATACCAATTCTGGTGGCAGATCCGAAAGCACGTTGTAAAATTTGGTTTCTATGTTATTTTTCGTAAGCAGAAGTGGACCTCAGGTATAGAAAACCAGCCAACAGAAGCCGATTCCATAAATCCTGGTTATTTTGATACCAACCATTGCATTTGTGACCATTTCATTCGTTTTGTGGTGAGGTTGAAAGTAGAAATGTCCGTTTATTTATTTATTTGCTTACACATATTGTGAATTAAGTATTCAATATTTTTCTTTTATACACATGGTGAATTAAGCATTCAGTAATTTATTTTTAGATAACCGTGCTGAATTAAGCATTCAGTATTTTTCTTTCTTCTTTTAAACATCTGGGTTACCATTTATAGATTTAAGTTGAAAGTTGGAAATGTGGGCGTCAATTGTCCTCACTAATTTATATTAGACACAATGCCACAAAACAATAACAACAAGAAACAATATTCAGACAAGAGAAATAGTAAAAATAGATTTTTATATAACAAATGTACAAAACAATAGCCATGAATGTTGTTTTAAATGATGAAATAAACTTGTCTTTTTAGATTTTGTGTGAGGTAATCTTCCAGTTTGATAGACTGCAAGTTGTATGGTAATTTGTGTGAATTTGGAAAAATTCACTTCAAAGTAATATTGTTTGTATTCAAAATAAACAGTTTAAAGTTTGTGGGAAAAGCGTGTGTAGTGGTGACTTACGTTGTGTTTGACGTTTGAGTGTCTTTCGCTTCATTGTTTGCCGTCGTGAGTTTTGTTTGTATTGAATGAAAGAAACAGACCGTGGTTATGTTAAAAAGGATTTTTAACTTATAGTCTGGACTTCAATTGAAAGTTGTTTTATGATGAGTGTCGTCATGTAGCGTGTAGCTTTTTCGGCTGATTTTCCCCACTCTTTGTTTCTTAACTGTTTGTTGTTTATATAAGCAATATGTTACGCGATAGGCTCCAGAATACGTTTTAAAATTGTGTCGTACCTTTGACTAGGTCAAATTAAAGTCAGGCGAGCGGACCTAGTTTACGAAATTCCATTTGATATTTGTAAACCAATCAAATTACGTTAGTTGTGCAATTTTAATTAGGAGCCTATGTTTTGTTCAATTTTTTGAAGTATTGAGAACAATGTAGGGTCTGGATCCTATAGAATATTGTAGGTGTGTGTGTGTGTGTTCACGTATAAACGAGAAGCAATAAAAACATATCTTTTTACCACAGACAGTTTTTTTTTAATATATAGAAACGGTAGGGGAATAAATTTCTCAAAGTCTCTTATGTCCCTTTTACTTTCTGGTCCAGAAGTAGGTTAGGGTAAGTAATGATAAGAAGGGTTACAATGGTCGGGCTCAAATCAGCTTTGTGCTGAGTTGGAACGACTAAAATAAAGGTTGTACTTACTTCATCGGTGGAGTTTCTGCATACCCCGTCCGAACGATATGAGTTGGAAAGTGGGAAGAATGTGCAGTTCACTCCTTTTTGGAAGTGGGTTCATAAAATTTCGTAGATGACCAAAAACCCTTTCCGGCTACATTATTACTAGCATCACGAGAAAATGTATTTTGCCCTCATAATTTTCGAAACCGTTACTAGGGGACGCTTTCCGGACTATAAATGCAATATTTTTCTCACTCTCTTTTTCTTACCTTATCCGCCAACATATAACCTCTCGCGGTTAAATTTGTGTGTTGGTGCATTATAGGTAGCTGCGTGACCACATGAAAAAAAATTAAGAAGCAGCATAAAAAATATTTTGTTTCTACTGCGAATCGTTTATTCTTTTATATATGTATAAACTGTAGGAAAACGAAGTTCTTAATGTCTCTTAGGTATGTCCATTTTCTTTTTATAGTCCAGAAGTTAGGTAAGTAAACATAAGCATCGTTATAATGGTCGAACTCGTCAGCATTGCGCAGAGTTGGAACGACCAGAGAAAAGTCTGTACTTACTTAATCGTTGGGGGGATGGAAAGAGACTTCAGTCGACAGTGGACCTGGAAACGAACGTGACCCTGCGGGGATTTCTTTTTTCACGTGTTGCAACATCTTAGGGCAAGAGGGAGAAAGAGCGAATGAGGAAGGAAATGTTTGCTTTTTTATAGACTTAAACAACGCCGCCTAATGGGCGTTTGACGAACAATTACCGGCCTGAATGTCCAAGAAATTGTCAAAGAAAATATTCAGGCCGGTAAATGTTGTTAATACTGTTTATTATAAACAGAGCATTTACTTAAATATTTGTATCTATAAAAAAAAAATGTATAAACATAAAAATGTCTTAAAAGTCTTACTATATAAAAAATCACATCGTTTTATATGTCTTCCAGTAAAAAAGGAAGATTGTTTGTTATTATTAAAACAGTTTTTGTGATGTTTCTCTTGCTTGCTTTTTGTTTGCTGACACATTAAGGAATGGATTAAGGCCGTTCAAACCGCTACAATAAAATTTCCTGTTTCTTTCATGGGAAATGTATCACTTTTTCTTTTAATTATTCATTGTTATTATTTTATTTATTGATTTTATTTCATTTTCACACAACTGGCACATGCCCGATAGGTTTTTATTATCTCTCAGTTGCGTCTCTCTCTTCGGCAGAGTGCGATTCAATTGTGGCTCCATCGGAGTACAGAGGCTCAACTGAGGAAAAACACGCTGTGAGGTGCCAAACCCTAGTGAACAGATGCCCGAGGCTGTACCCTCTCATTCTCATAGCACTTAGAGAGAGGGATCGGTGCTCGCACCGAGGATAGCAAAACCGACGGGAATTTTTGTTCTTGGCCCGAGTGTGTGTGTTCCCTACATTAAACGTAAACCCGACTTTGAATCACATTCCGTCTCAGTGGTAAATATTCACACAAAGTAATTAAATTCCGTACAAGTTGTCCTACTTTAGTTTTCGCAACAAATGGCGATTCTTTTTTTTCTATTTTTTTTTAATACTCTATTTTCAATTTGTGTGCTTTGTAGCCCATGTGAATGAAAATGTACGTATTTATCGTGCTAAAAGATTTTGCCATCCACCAGTCATTAAAAAGACACTTATTTTATTTTGTGTTGATAATCGAGAGATAGAACACGAATAGAAAAGTAAAAAAAACATTTTTGAAACTTAAAAATTCCTACATAAAAATATATGATTGATTGTACGGCACATAATTTCTCGTTATCTACCTATCTCAGTCTGTTTATAGATCTATCTATCTATCTATCTATCTATCTATCTATCTATCTATCTTTTTTATCTATCTATCTCAACAGAAAAAAAATCGATTAAAGAAACGAATATGTAATTATTTTTGGTCACTTATACGCCTGTCCACTGCTCTAGCCACTGAGCCAATTTTTATAATTTCTGTCGTCTATCAAAGCATACAGTGCGCATGTGCAAGAGTGAGTTTATCTTCCGGATGAAATATGTCTGCCCGATTTGTAGTTTAGTTGCTCTGCTCTAACCATTTTCCCCCTATTATAGTTTCTAAGATGTTATGGATAGCATTTTTTGTCACTTTGGCTTCCGTGAATGTCTTTTGTGATGGACATATAGAAAAAACCAGCTGTGGATGTGCTACAAATCGCAAAAAATCGCCTGTTTCGTCTTCTTGCAGTTCTAGTTGTAGCGACAACAATAACATTCACGTTGATGAAAATAAGTACTTAGATAAGAAGACGAATGACAATAATGACGACGACGATGTTACTATCGAGGATGAAGAAGGAAATGTGGGTCTGAATGAAATTAAGCCTTTCCCTAGAACTAACCAGATGTCTTTTATAGCTGGTGGGACGTTCATGATGGGTACAAACAAACCAGTATTTGTAGCCGACGGAGAAGGACCCGAGAGGAAAGTAGAGATAAGTTCTTTTTATATGGATGTCCACGAAGTAAGCAATGCTGAATTCGAATTATTTGTCAACTCTACCGGTTATGTCACAGAGGTAAAAACAAACAAAACCAAAAAAGGTTTATTTTTCTTGACACCATATTTTTTTTTTTTTTTCTCTCCGTTCTCCAGGATGGTCCGAAAGTCTTGTCACCCCTACATAATATAATTAATTTTCTATTTTTTATGGCTGACACGAGCTCCTACGGTTTGAAAGAGAGGTAGTGGGTGACAAAACTTTCGGACCACCCTGTATAACATGAAGGATGACTAATGTCCCCACAAAAATTATTTTATTTTCTAAGTTGTGCTGACACTATCAGAGTACTCATGCTTCCGTTTTAGAGAGGGATCATCATTCATTACTTAGCAGGCTATAATTTACAACTACTAATAATACTCATTTAGACGATAAAGTTTTGTTTTTTCGTCAAGTTTGGCGTCTTTTTCGTCATGCTATGCTCTTTTTAGAGATCCAATGGAAGTATCTACATTATTTGAGATATGACACTTAGAAAAAAAAAAGTTAGGTACCACTTTAGTCCCCTCGTAAAGACTAGGAAAAAAATTTTCGAGAATTTTTGTAGATTAGCATCCATTATTTTCTTTAGTTTAGAAAGACCTTCCTCAAGCTACACTACACTACAGCATTTGTCAGAATACAATAAAAAAAATATCAATTTTTTATCCATTTATGATTTAGCAGTGGTCCTGTTCATAATATTAAAAATGCAGTCATAAATCGATTTCTGATTTTTTAGTACAGAGTTCTTTCATGTGCCGTGTTCCTTCAGGACATGGGCGATCATGACCCTCCACCACTTCCTGTCTCTTGTTGCTCTCAATAAATTTTGTCTTTTTGTTAATTCTCCCAAACCCTGTTCTGCCATCCATTTGCCGATCAAATATATTACACACTACTCTGTCCCTCTATCTGTCCCGTGAGTATCAGATTTTCCAAGCCTTTCTCTCTCATTATGTGCCCCAAAAATTTCAACTACCTCTTCCTGATGTTAAGTATAAGTTTCCTCTTTGTTTCCATTCTCTCCAAAACCTGGTTGTTGCTAAAATGTTTGGTTCATGGTATCCTTAGTATCATTCTGTAGAACCACATTTCTGTTACTTCAAGTCTCTTCTTCATCTTTGAGGAGATTGTCCAGTATTTGCTGCCATATAGGAGGACAGATATCACGTAACAGTTCAGTACTCTTTTCTTTGTTTTCAACAAAATTTTCCTGTCACTTAATACTCTGCTTAGCTTTTGGAATATGTTTTCAGATTTCAGTGTTGCACTTTTCACTTTCCATCCTCTGTTAGAACACTTCCTAGATATTTAAATTTCTGTACTTGAGAGTTATCTGAACTTAATTTGCTATTTACAAACAAATGTCAAGTTTGGTACTAACTAAGCCTGTATAATATACACATTTTTTTTTTTTTTTTTTTTTTAAATTTCCTAATTTTTTTTTTTTTTTTATTCTTTTGGGTGGTGGATTTTTTTTTTTTTTTTTTTTTTTTTTTTTTTTTTTTTTAAGAAGCTCATGCACAGATATTGGAGGATAATAATTATTTTTATTTTATTTGAAATGAAGAATAAACAGAAATTCCATCCAAACAGCGATATATTTTCATTATATGGAAATTTCTTCTCTAATTAAAATTAAAAATGCATATATATATGTTTGTTTTTTTTTAAAAAAAAAAAGTCTGTTTTTTGTATGTAGAACAACTAAGTCCAGATAACTTTGTAGAAAAAAAAAGTCACAGATCATACATTGTATTGATTATGAAGGGGGCCTACGTTCTAACTAAAATACATTTTTAGATTCTAATAAATGTGCCTAAGATATACTATTCTATAAAATTTATTCCCTGCAAAAGTTTTTTACGAGTGGACTAGACTTTAAATAATACTATAATAAAAGTTACTGCAGTGTATTCAATGGACATATGCTCCCCACTTCCACCAACCATGAACATCTGACATTTTACAGTATTATGCAATTAACTTGGCTACAGGAACTGGTAGCTGTCAGTGTGTTGGTTGAAAAAATAAATATCCTAGCAGATACCAGAATTTTAATATAAAACTAGATATAATTTTCAAGAAAATGCAAATAGTGAGAGACTATGCATGCATCATACAATCAATCATGTATTTTTATGTGGGACTGTTAAATTCAAAATTTAAACATAAAAAATGTTTTAGTTTTTCTTTTCATGTCCTGTCTCTTGATTATGAATACAAGATTAAATAGTTTTTTTTTTTTTTTTTAATGAATGGGAATGGCAAAATGTTTGTATATGCAGTAGTGGAATCACTAAGTTTGCAGAACCAGTTTTAAAATTCCATTGGCCTTTATATACATAAACAAAGCACTTAAATATGGCTTTAGTTTTAAAAAAAAAAATGATAATTCTTAATTTCATTGGGGATATAACAGAGTCCAATATAAAAGAGAATTCACACCACTGGGTATGTGATGTTAATTCTGGTAAATATCAATTTATAATTCAGTATTATTTATTCGTTTATTTTATTATTTTTTTAATCAAACATTTTCTTGAAATAATCACTAAAACATTACTAATTTAAATCAAGTGTTCTTGAAACACATAAAAAGATTTTCCATGCACACCCTCTGTTTAATTTTCATTTCTTATATTTGATTTATTTTATTATTTTTTTTAAATCACTGCCAAGCGAGGTGATAAGATAATGCCACTGAGCTGCAAGGGAGTCTACTAGGAGTGAAAGAGAATGAAAATACTTTAGAAGGAACAGGAAACCCAATACTAAACAAGAAACAAGGGATAAACCTCTACTCTTGTTCAAAAACTGGACAGGAGTGTGAACTGGGCGATAGGTGAACCTATCTACTCCTATATTAAGTTTAAAGATAGAATGTATGATCAATGCAATTGGTGAAGGAAGTGCACTGGCAATCCAATTTCAAATTCTGGGCTAGAGAGTTTGAATTCCAGCCGAATCCATTACATTCACTTATGTGCTAATACCCTTGGGAAAGGTATGAATCCTCTTCTTCACACCTTCGCACCTATGGGTAAATAGTAGGAGAGACCAGGTTCTATAGCCTTGGATGGCAACTGGTCTACTGCAGAAAGAAATGGCAACCTACTGCAGGGAGAAGATCTGCCTCGTCAGTCATGTATCTTTCGATACATGATCGCCTAAGCATGTATCATGCATGGCGCATAACTGAGTAGTGACCTTGGAAAAGGTATGAAGTTGTCCCTTCTCCTCTCGCCAATATATTACATAGCAGGATAGACTGGGTTCTGTAGCATTGGATGGCAAGTTCAAGAGAAGGAAAACTTGAATTCCAAATCATTGAGAAGACAATGGGAATCTATTCCTTATCTTTCCCAAGAATACATGGCAATTCACAGATAATAAAAGAAAAAGAATCTGCTTAAATGCTAAAGGTTTGGTTTATTTTGTTTTACGGTATATCAACCTCGATGGGTTATTTAACAATTTTTTATTGCTGGTAATATTTTGTTTTGTTTTGTTAAAAATCTATTGCTGGTAATAATTTTTTTCAAAAAAAGTATTGCTAGTAATAGTTAACTATTTGCTCATAGCTGGGACCCTAACAGGTGCTACCACCCTGGATCAGGGTGGACCTGGGGACACCAGCAATTATTCTACACACCTCAAAACCTCCTGATCAGAGGCCTTGCTGCTGGATGTAGTTTAACGTCTTACCCAGGACGAAATGCTAAAGGGACATGGAATTTAAAAAAAAAAAATGTTGAAATGACATCCTTAAAGATGAAAAATATACACATTTGAAATTATTAAAAACTTTGAGCGCCTTTTATAAAATACTGTTGCAAATGCACGTTTGTTTCGATTCAAAAGAGGCCCCAGATTGCATGTGGATATGTTTGTCAACATAGTTACACCCAGGTTTTCCCTGTTAGCAGCGGGACAGCTTGGCATGTCTAGATATGGTCCTCTCTGCAATAAGTCAAGTACCGGGTCTTTGTAAGATGCCTCATGCTAATAAAAGCAACAGGAAAATCAGCAGTTGGCAAGAGTCCTGTGAAAGTCAGTCACATGGGCATTTTGTTGCTGTAGTTTTTGAGGTAGTGTTATTTTTGTTACCTCCCATCATTTTCTCTTCTGTCTATTACCCCTGTAGTTCCTGGGAGAGTAATCGGTTAGGTATTTCCCTCAATTTCAATGCACTCTTGCCGTACATTACAACAAATACCTCTCTTAGGTTTTAGTGTTTTTGATGGTAAATAAAATCCACCATTTTCTTACAATATTTAAAGATATTCTTCATAACCATTGAATCTACACTGCGTGCCAAATTATTATCGAGATAACTTTTTTCTAATATTTCAAAAACCGTCCAATCAATTCACACAAAATTTTCACACACTGTTGGCAACACTGACCTGCGCAATCACTAAAATTTTCGTACTGATCTGCGCAATGTAAACAAACTGGCACCATATTTGCTATCAGCACGGTGATTTGAGCATGCCAAATTATTAGAAAGGTTTAGTAAAATTCCCAGAATTGAGCAAACAAAACGTTTATTAATGTTGCACGTGAATGTTTATGATCAAAAGAAGCTAATAAATAAGATAATCTAACAGATACAAAAAAAGGCACAGTTTTAAACAAATTAATAGGGAATGTGCTTTCCCTGTTTTGAAATTACTTGAAGAAGTTGACGATCCATAGAATTTGTTAATTCTAGGATGTCACCTGCTGTAATGCCATGAGATATGTCAAGAATTGCTTCCCACAACTCAGTGTTGCTACTGAATTGTCGTCCGTTAGCGTACAGTCTTCCCTTCATGATGCTCCAAAGGTTTTCGATTGGGTTCAAATCCAGAGAATTTGCCGGCCACTTCATTTTTCGAGGTCCATCGAAGCCTAACTCTTTCAAATATTCAGTCGTCTTGTGAGCAGCATGTGAGGGAGCATTATCTTGCATAAAAACAATGGCCCTTCTGAACGCAACTCTTTGCTTTTTCATCCACGGTTCAAGATGCTCCTTCATAAACACTATGTATGCATCAGCAGTCATTTTGACGCCATCTGGTACTCTCCATGGGCCCACTAATGTTTTTCCAATAATACCACCCCAGATCATTATGCCTCCACCGCTTTGTTGGCGTCTCAAACGCTGATGGCGATTCTGTCCGTTCATTACCCAACCTTTGCACCATCTATCTGGCCCATCAAGTGTTGCTCGAGTTTCGTCTGTGAACAAAACTTTAGAGAAGTCAATCTTCATATTGTCCTCGACCCATTTCAATCGATTTTGAATGTGATTTCTCATCAACGGAGGCTTCGATACAGGTTTGACTGTTGTTGCTATTTCCCTCAGATACCGACACCAAGTACTTTTAGACACAGTAGGATCCCCAATGCAACTGACAAGCTCTTGACTGGTAAGTCCAGGGTTCTTCGTGGTCTCTCGTTTAAGTCGTGACATGAGACGACGTGAAATAACCCTCGGTTTGCCTTTATCTGCCCTTTTGCGTACTTGTGCAGGGTTGGCGGTGACCTTTTTCACTGTTTGATGCCACCTCCTTATCTATTTAGAAATTTCTAGGGTAGATTTACCTGAGGTGATAGTTTTTTTTTCAGCATCACTTAAACTGCTTTTACGGCCCATCTTTTCACTAAATTCTTACACTTTTCTAATAATTTGGCACGCTCAAATCATAACAAATATGGCGCCAGTTTGTTTACATTGCGCAGATCAGTACAAAAATTTCAGTGATTGCACAGGTCAGTGTTGCCAACATTGTGTGAAAATTTTGTGTGAACTGATTGGACGGTTTTTGAAATATCAGAAAAAAAGTTCTCAATAATAATTTGGCACGCAGTGTATAGTAGATAATTTGGGAAAGTTGCCCAGTGCAACTTATGGCCAAATAAGTTCCGCTGACTGTTTATCAATAACTAGTCAAGACAATAACTTTACATTTGAGAGAGTGACTGAGTGCAAATGATAATTGCAGCTGTAGGGGTTACAAAAGAATGCTGAAATAATTAAATGTATAATCATTTTTTATATTTCATTTTTTTTAATTTATATATACAGGGTGCGATAGGTATTATTATTAATTTCATGCATGTGCATTGATGGTTTTGATTTTGTTGACTGCACAGATAACTTGGCCACCATCTGTGAGAAAAAGAACACCATGATGCAATTCACTCCACCAGAATTATGGAAACCACATTCTGTACTGCTTGGCATCCGTGTCAGAAGGTCTAATATGAATATTTCAGGGTGTTTGGATGTCAATCTAAGGACAGTTCAGAGGATTTGGTAAGAAAAAATTTGTTGGTAATGTCCTCAGACTTAAGACAGTGGCCTACATCAAGAGGGTGGCTGCTAGAAGACCCTATGTCTGGCAACAGGACTCTGCCCCATGCCACACAAGCAAGAGAACCCAATCATGGCTGTCAGACAATTTGTGTGACCACCGCATCACCCCCTTACATCTGGTCACCTAACTCCCCAGACTGCAACCCCCTTGATTAATTTGTGTGAGGTACAGTTGAGTGAAGAACAAACAAAACTCCTTGTAACACCAAAGATGAACTGAAGGCAAGGATTATGGCAGCATTCACCAACTTAAACAAGGAAACCATTCAAAAGATTCTGAAGTCATCTGGAGGTCGTGGTTAAAGCTAATGGTGATTTTATTGAATAAATTTACTTTTTAGTATTTCAAGATATATTTTCAAGTAAATATATCTGTTAAAATGAGATGTCATTTTTGTGTAATTTAGATGACAGTTTATCCATCACACCGTGTGTGTGTGTGTTTATATATATATATATATATATATATATATAATGAAAATTTCTCAGAGTTAACCTGTAGAAAAGACAATATTTATAAATATAAATGACAATAGGAAAACTGTACTTGTTGCTGACGCATTTAAGTCCAACGTGAACTTTGCTTGTAACACCACATTGACTTAAACGCGTCAGCAACTGCTACAGTTTTCCTATTGTCATTTATATTTATTTATATATATATATATATATATATATATATATATAATTAAGTAATTCATCGAATCTAGAAGAAACCTCAACAGAATGCAGAAAGCACTGGACGGCCATTTCGTCCTATATTTGGGACTCATCAGCAGTGTGCATCCACTACTGAGAATTGAAACCTGGACAGTTACGTTATCAGGCAAACGTCATACCAACAGGCCTTGGTGATGAAGAGGTAGCGAATTAGACTCGATTTAAGACAATATTTTTGTCTGATAACGTAACTAATTATTTATTACAAAAACCTTAAAATTGCCCATCCTATAGTTAAAAATAATAATGCAATTCTTAGATTAAAATTAAATAGAACAAATATTATTTATGAATTTAAATGTCCATTAAGGAATTGAGTTCCTAATCAATCAATATTCATAAACAATTATATTGGCCACACCATGACATGTTTAACAAGAAGACCCACGCTACATCTTTCTAACTATAGCTCAATTAGGTCTTATTTAAATATTCATGGAGACCTACTGGACCCAATTCACAACATACTTGTTGATAATACAAATATAATAGCATCGTCTACATGTAAAAAAGAAAAGAAAAAAAAAAAGGCTAAAAATAATGGAAGCCTTATTAATAAAAACAAAAAAAAATAACACTCAATAATATCAACTCTGAACATGGACACAATATGTTGACTGTGTTTTGAAAATAAAACCTTCTATAATGCTAAAAACATACATACAACAATCCATTTCCAGTTAACAATAAATATATTTCATCCGTGATAATGGCTAAAGGTATAGCCGAAAGCTCTTGGAAAAATAAAAACATTTGGACAGTTTTTTGTATAATTTATCTATGAAAGATAAAGAAAAAAGTTATAAGATCATATGAGAAATTATATAAAAAACTTGTCTGTCATATTTTATGAAAGTTGCATGAAAGAAGGATTATTGCTGCCTAATAATATATATATATATATATATATATATATATATATATATATATATATATATATATATATATATATCAAGTATAGGATTGGTGTATACAGAATAAATTCCAATAACCAACAAATACTATTCTTAAAAGAGTGCTCAATACAGAGTATCTACATTCAACACAATCTCTTGATAAGACACCAGAAGTGTTGAAACAAAATGGCTATTTTTGTAGTGATTTTATAGCATATTCATGTTATAATTTTTGAATAAATGATTATATATATTTATATACGTGCTCATGATTTTCATGTGGGTAGATCTGTGCAAATGTCAAATATTGTTGTAATTAATAAGCTAGTTTTAGTGTGGCACAAGGCCACAAATCTCGAGCATGAAATGAAGATTGAGTTTACTTCAGTAGTTATGGTCTACAACTAGTTTGTTAGGCGTTACTCCACAAGTAAAAAAAAAAACAAAAAAAAAAACACAACCCATATCACTTTAGTTGATTTTTATGTTAGCTACGTTGTACCTTTGGTTTGTTCAACATGATATACAGGAATATATTTTAGAAATAATTTTCTTTCATTAAAAATTTCTAGTTCATTTGTTTGTTTTTTTTTTTTTTTTTTTTTTCAAAAATGCATTTCTAGAAAAAATTTTACCAAGAAACATTTGACTAAAGAGTTTATTTTATGGCACAAAGACATTATTTTTCTTTCTTAATATTAGTCCTTTTTAACATTATCAAAGATTATGACTATATCTGATAATATAGAAAGATAAAAGACAGATAAAAAGTACACCTGTCCAGAAGAAAATTTCAATTTATGATCATCAATATTAATTATTAGCTTAAACCTCTTATTGTCACAGTTTTTCTTCCTAAAAAGGTTGATTCATCCATTTTCTATGGTTTATCAACCTTTTGCAGGTTATTTAAAGCCAGGAGTATAAGAATTTTTATCTTTTGAGATAATAATGATTTACTGATACAAGTCTTACCAATTAACACATAGCTGTGGGTAGAAGAGGTGGATTCATACCTTTCCCAAGGGTATTTGTGCATAAGTGATAATGAACCTAATTGGAACTCTGCTCTCTGATTAATAATTCTGAGTCATTATCTCTTACACTATCTGCATATCCAAGTTTATATCACATGGTATTTGCAAGCAGTCACCCATCTTGGTACTGACCAAGATTGACCTTGCTTAATTGTGTCAAAGGCTTCTGCTACTCCTCCATATATACAATTCTCTAAGGATTAGCTTTTAAATCGGAAATATATTCTGTTCCTTTAACATCTGGCAAAAAAACTTAAGGCCAATGAAAATAAAGAAAAAAAATACCTTTTGCATTGTTACTCAATTACTTATTTGAGTCAAGCATCAAAAAATGAAAATACGAAAAGGAAAAATAGACATTAAAACCTTTTTAGCATTTAATAGGAAAAATTTGAATACTGGGAAATTAGGCTAAATTCTAGTTGGTCAAAAGTTTAGACCATATTTAATTAATAAACATGCAACAAAATTTAGTCATTTGTATTCAATCATTAGCACAGTTTGTCTGAAGTATTTCATGTTTTGGCCAGTCAATTCCCCAGCCTTCTCCAGGTGAAAATTCACCGGTTTCCCCCACTTAAAAAAAAACTAAAAAACACACAATTTTAGATTTTTGTTATGGTGATATCAGATTTAATCATAGGCTTTTCTTTCAGTGAATATGATTGACCTTTGACCTGTATACACAACCATTATTATTTCTTGGATATAATATTTAATGTGTATAAAAGAAAAAAATGAATTTGTTTTTTGCCTTGGAAAAGTCCACATTGGACGAAACACATTGGCTAAAACTACATACAGTTTTTTTTATTGTCTTTTTTCCTTTATACATATTGTCTATTTTTTACAGGTTAATTCTGAGAATTTTAAAAATATTTAATGTACATATGCTCTATTTTTTTTTTTTTTTCCAGGCTGAAAAATTTGGCAATTCCTTTGTGATGGAGAACTACCTCAGCAAGCCAACTTTGGATAATGTCACAGACTCAGTACGTAAACGACTTTCCTGATCAAATTTGTCTATATCTCTGAGATGAGGTATTATGATTACTTACATTATTTGGACTGTTATCCTAATCTTCATTGCCATATTCACAATGTTTCGGCCATTGTACACTCCAGCTTTCTTCAGGTGATTGGAATTTTGAACTGAACCCTTTATTTCATCCACTGAGGTAGATTGTTCTAGTTCCATCTGTCATGCCTTTTCTGGATGTCTCAGTTATTTCCCTTTAACTCAACTTTCCAAGTTTTTGTTGAACTCAGAATTCTTTGGGTCTCGTCACTGGATCTAACCAACGCCTTTATCCACTAGGCCATGTGTCTTGTATGAATTTCTGGGACATATTAACCTAATGTCTCAAACATTAACAAGGTTTTTTTACTAGTGCTCATATTGCAATTTTTCTGTTATTATTGCATATTTTTTACCAGAGCTTACATTGCTTTTCTCTAGCACTCCTTATTACTGGGTTCCCATATTTTATTCATTTTTATGCTTGGTCAGCTCAGGAGATTTTTGTGGCCTAGCATATATGCTGATTCCTTAAGTTTATTGACTATTATTTCAACCTTATCCTACAGGGGGCAGTGATCTCCCTTTTCCCTACATATGTGGTCAGCTATGCCGGATTTTTCTATTTCCCCTCGTGTTACCACTTTATGATGATCTTGCAACCTTAAGGGTGCAGCCTGTTTCTCTTTTATATTTCTTGCCACTGCTGCACAGGATGGCGTATACACAGTCTTTAGTCATATTCTCCTCTAGTGGGGGAGGGGTCTTACTCAGAAAAGTTGTCTGCAAAGTGTTGAACCACTTTTGAAGATTGTCTTGATGTTATATGGAACACAGATCTTTTGTATTTTCTCTGATAATCCCTTCACATAGGGTAGGCAAACTGAATCTTGTCATGAACACAGCCACAACATGCAATTGACTGTTTATATTTCTCATTTATTTCTTTTGTATATGCATTTTTCATTGGTGCAAGGTTGATTTTTTTTTTTTTTCCTTCTTAGTGTGTGTGTTTGTGCTCATGCACCCACCTGTGCAATGTGCATATATGTAGAATGTCATGGTAATTTCTCCTTTTTGTTGTTTTTCTAGTCACTTTATACTCTCTCCTTATTGGTTTTATACTTTTTCTTTTTAGTTGTAAATATATAATATATATATATATATATATATATATATATATATATATATATATATATAAGAAAAAGACTTAATATTCTTCATATAATTGGTTATAAATTTATTTCAGCAGATATACATATATATCAGACCAACTTTATTTTATTAATAAAATGTAGTTGTTCTGATGAGGCAGGTGTAAATAAATATATATATATATATATATATATATATATATATATATATATATATATATAATAAATAATTGTTGAAATAAATTTATAAACTGATTATTATTCCTTATTTATTTATATTGATCTATATATAAATTTATACATAGTTCTCATCATGGATTTAACTTTTTAATATTTTTATCTTCTAATCTTGGAATAATCCCTACCACCTACGTATTTGGTATTATATATGGAAGCAATCCCTTTTTTTATACAGGTTTCATTGAAGACAACTGACAAGGCATTGGGATTAACCTTTTTATTATGTTTTACTTGCATGTGTACAAGTGATTTCTTTTGTGAACATCTGGTATGTAAAAACTGTTTAAATGATCTGTGAATCTGAGCTCCTTTGACTAGTCTATTAGTCATTATTAATATTATCATCATCATCAGTCTCTTGACTTCTTCAATTGTTAATGATGGATACCTTAGGACAGAAGAAACAACCTCTTCCAGTCTGATCTGTTGGCAGTGGCTCTCAGGAATTCTGGCATTGTCATATATGTCCACTCTTTCTTTGAAAGCATAGAGGGTACAAACATTCCACATTGCAGTAGTTGTACCCTGCATTGGTAGCTTGGAGATGTTTGCTGCGCCAGTTGCCCATTTCTCATGCCCATTCTGAAATGAGCCTATGAGACACATGACAGTTGTTGATCTGGGCCTCAACCAATCCAGCATGATTTTGCTTTCTCATCATCCTTTCAGCAGGTTTTCAGATAGCTTAGTAGTACCCATCTCCTCTCCAAAAGGATGTTTATATGTTTAAATGAATGAATATATATATATATATATATATATATTTGGTTGGATAGATGTGAGTTTGTGACCCTGGGTTTCATGCTTTAGCGATCGTCAGACAAACTGATTAATTTTTTAAAATTTTGGGTTTATGTAGATTGCTTGTATTGGTGTTATTATGGCAGTGGTGGTGGAAATCGATGTATGTTCATACGTCTAATGGAGTACGCATTATTATATATATATACACGCATTATTATTATATATATATATATATGTGTGTGTGTGTGTTATTATTATAATATATATATATATATATATAAAAAAAAGAAAAATCCTAACAAAAGCAAAAATTAGAAATTTTTCACATTTGTCGACATGCAAAACAGAAACATACACACAGATATAGTCAGAATACACATGAAACAACTAGCATCCACCTTCTCCATAGAGAAATGCTTAAATCTACTAAAAAACTCCTAACAAAAGCAAAAATTAGAAATTATTCATATATATATATATATATATATATCACAATCATGAAATTGTTTATGATTGATATTGTTGAGAGTTGGTTTTTCCTTTTTTGTTATTAAAACATTGAGGTAAGACAATTTTTCTTTCTGGAATCTATCTTGCATATCTATAAGTCTACCATTCATCCATGCTTAGAATATTGCTGCCACATATGGTTTGGTGCCTCTGCATTTTACCTTGAGCTCTTTGATAAGATCCAAAGAAGAATCTGCAATGTTATTGGTCTTGATCTGGCAGCTCGGTTTCAGTCACTTGTCCACTACCATCAGGTTGCCTCCCTGTGCGTTTTTTTGTAAATTAAAAAAAAAAAGAAAAGACATTCTTAAACATAAACAACAAAAATGCGAGCCATCTACCACTAGAATAAGGGGTTCAGTTCAAAATTACCTAAAGGTTAACTAGATTGGCAAACACTTGATGAAGACTGCAGGGCATAATGGTGAAAATGTTATGATGACAACAACAAAAATAAGGACAATAATCAACATGTAAATTCTTATTCTGGATTGGAGCAAAGAGGATCCTTACTAAGTCGTCAATTTTGTACTTGTGAAATCCATTCTAATTACAGGGTATGATTATAAATTTAATTCTAAAGAAATCACAATGATTTGTAACCAAATTTTAGTAATATTTCACTGTTAAATATTGGTAAGCTATTATGCAGAGGGGCAGAGGAAATCTACCTGCCTTCAAGAAGGTTGAGAGCGTGTGCCTGCTGATGCCATTGGCTCCATGATGCCAAGAAAAAAAACCAGGGAAGACTGATTCAGTCAGTTATAACAGAAAACGGTTGATTGAATAGTCTGGATTTGCTGCCAACAAGGTTGATGCATTAACATGGATGTGCTGCTTCCAGATTAGTGGACCTGCCTTTGGACACACAAAGTCAGTGGCAGGAACAAGTTGCGAGACAAAGAAGGCTGATCACGGGAATAGTGGATCTGTGACTGTTGTTGTTTTTTTAGTTTTTTGTTTTTACAGCAGCATGTTTACTGTTTTCTTGAGTTAATACTCAGATGTTCATATCAGTCACTTCATAGTTAGGACTTTTTCCACCTTGTTTTTCTTGCTAGGTGATGGCTGCTCCTTGGTGGCTTTCTGTCAATGGTGCCAACTGGAAACTACCTGAAGGCAATGATTCAACAATCCGAGATAGGTTGATATTATTTCTAATTGTATATATTTCAATCCCTGCTTCCCATATCAAAGTACTTTATCATTATCTTGTTAAAATTAAATTTGCTGAAATCTGTATTGCTTAATTCATAGATTGGTATAACAAAATCTCTGCCATGCAATATTGAGAGTGAGTGACAATCTCTTTCATTACTTATAGTGAATCTGAGAAACAATTTTCTAACTTTTTTTTATTGTACCTGGCTTTCTCTTGGATTTTATGTATTTTTATAAAAATAGGATACTGTAATTAAATTGTGAATTGGATCATGACAAGACTTTGTTACATATGTCCACTGGCAGTTCATGTTCAAAAAATGTCTAATATAATTCCTTTTATACAGGTTTTTTTCAACCCATAGTTATATGTTGTGCTGACCTATGAGTGAACTCTCACTAACATCATTTACACTGAACTCTAAGGTTATTACTTCAACTAAGGAGATTTCTTTTACCAAAATAATTCTGTTCAGTTGTTATTGAATAACAGCTCCCTTTCTTGGGAAGCTCCCAAACATAAATACAAGGAACTAAAAGAAATAAAAAGCAGGAGGGAAAAATAATGTTTACCATTTTTTTAGCAAGAACAGTGCAAGAAGATACAATAGTATTTAGAAAGAGGGATTGTCATTTATTTAGAAAGAGGGATTGTCATTATTCGGGAAAATTTCTACCTTTTAAGTCAAGGTGAGACTGCTGATTATTACTTAATATCTTTTCTTCCTTGTATAGTTCTCTTATTCAACAAGCGTATGAATCTGGATGTTGGTCATAACACATCTGGTATCTACCATGTCTAAACCTTCAGATAGTTGCCTTCACATAGACCACACCTACATCACCCACCATCATTTACTGGAGGGCACAGAATCCCCAATATGTACTACATGTCAAAAAAGATTCACAGTTAAACATATACTGCTTGAGTGTACAAAGTTAAATCAAGTGCGGAAACAATATTACCAAACAAGTAATTTGAAGAAACTCTTTATGGAAATAACACCATCTAGGATACTAGATTTTATAAAAGCAATTAGAATGTGCTCAAAAATATCAGTGGCTGAATAGTACTGCGTATATATATTATGTGTGTATATGTATATTCTACCAAACTATGCTAAAATCCATTTCAAAATAGTGTCGGCATTAAATAACCCACTGAGGTTGATATGCTGTAAAACAAAATAACTAACCAATGAACCAACCTTTGGATAGTTATTTATCGTACCAAGGGCAATAATTCACCATAAAAAGAAAAGTAAGTGTAGCATTAATAATTGATTGTTACACTTCTAAAATCTTGTTTCCTCATCCAAAGAAGATAATGAATTGAAAAGATATCTTTTTAAAAAAAAACAAAAAAAACTTTATATCATCTGTATAAAAATCTTCTATCGTTATCTAAGGGAGATAAGTTGAAATAAGAGAAGCTGAAGGCATTTAGTAAAAAAAATGAATAAACTAAAAAAAAAAATGTGTGTAGAAATAGTTGTGTTCTATACTAAAGGCCTACTCATGGTGCAAATAAAGGCCAGAACTGGAGGCCGATTTCAAAATATTTGAATTTTGGGAGTAAAGTTAAACATTCTTAATAAATGATTTTTTTCATTAATTTTGTAGGATAAAAAAAAATGTTTTGTTTTGTAAAAGGAAACTAAGCTGAAATTCAACATAAGTTTTTTATATATCTTTTAGAAAGAAAAACAAATTACTTAAAAAAAAAAAAAAAAAAAAAAATTATCAATATATTTGTTGTTATGAATCACAACATCATATAGCTTTACTTTATATTGGTACCACAATACCTGAGGTTTAAAATTAATTTTTTAAAATGTAAAATCCATCTTGAAGTTTTTATTTTAGTTTTAATATTAAGTTAATAAATTTAATATTTCCAATAAAAAAAAATACTTATTCAAAACTGATTTAAATTGACTGGAATGAGTTTTCATTTTGAAATTGCTGAAATCACTGATTTAGCACTATTTTTAACCAATCTTTCATCATGATGTATTTGTCTTTATTAAAAAAAATCTTTCTAAAAGTAATACTTTTCTGGAACGTTATTTGAGAAATATCAGCTGATTTAAATTTTAATTAATCTAATTTGAAACAAATATTACTTCAAGTTTAAAATATTGCAGCAATGCATTTTTTAACATTGCAGTAGTTTTTTTAAGATGTTGGCAGCTTTACTGACAGACGGAAGTTTATCTAATTTTTTTTTTTTTTACAGTGGTTATATCAGTAAAATCTGCTTGAATATAACATGAATTCCTTTATTATATAATTTTTAACTATCCAGTAATTTTAAAAATTTAAATATTATCCTTAATTTAATGTTTTATTGACTGTTAAGTACTTTAGCTTTAAATTTATTAGAGTTATCGCTCTTATTTGCTGATAATTTCATGGACGTCCACATTTAAGAAGTTGGCACATAAAAAAAATTTCCAAATTCTTTTTAAAAATTGGGGTTTGATGAATTGTACTAAGTCTTTCCATTTATGATAAGTAAATATAGTTTTTACTAATAACACTACCGCTTAACTAGTATAAATTAAGGCAGAATTTTAAAAGATTTAAAAGTTTATGAATTATTATAATTAAAATTTTACAAAAATGAAAACAATTCTTTATTCATTGAAAATTTTTTTTTTTTTTTAGACAATAGTGTCCTTATTCTTATAAGCAATTAAAAGCTTTTCAGATAAAATAATGTCAGTTCTATTGTATTTTTTATTTTATGATTCAGAACAGATTTTCAGTAACTGGGGGGGGTCTTATTTTTACAAAAATAAATTGATGATTTACATTCTCGAAGATGTTCTGCTTTTAACTAATATAAACATTAAGCTCTACAAAATTTAAGTTCTCAAAGTTAAATAATTAAGGAGTAATAGATGTAAAAAAAAAAAAAATTAAATAAAAAATGTATTTTTACCAAAATTTTCTAAAATAATTTCATTCATTTTTAAAAGTTTTATTAAAATCCGACAATTATTCCATTTTTGCAAGAATTTTCAAATCCATGTTTTTCACCACAAAAAAGATGCTAAAATTTTCTATACTAATCTTTGTCCCCCCCCCACTCTACACCTAATGAAAAGACTATTAACCAAATATTTCAAACATTCTAAAAAGGATCAAAAATTATAATTTAATAATCAAGAAATCCTTTGGTCTTTTCTTGTAATAATAACAATAATTTTGACAATAAAACTTGGCTTTTTATTATGGTTGGGGCATTTTTTTCATCATGGTATACCAATTTTTTTAGTGAATCAGTGGTGGTACCTACCTTTTTTACATTACTTCTGTTTACTCCCAGACTCTGATCTAAATGCTCACTTGGTTACTTCTTTTAGAACAAAAATTTATTATTTGAATAACTTCTTTGAAGACTGCAAAAGGCACCTAAAGCAATTCTTTGTTTAGAATGATACAAATGTTCTGGGAGGGTGAAATTATAAAGTTGCCTGAAAGATAGCAGGCAGTAGTGTGTGCGTGAGGACAGGGCAGAATAAATATGTTATTCAACAAAGCTGATGTCAAAACTCAAAACATTTTTTTATTTTAATAATTTTCGTTTTTTCTTTTTCTAATTACAGAATGGATCATCCTGTCCTTCATGTCTCTTGGAATGATGCTGTAGCATTCTGTAAATGGTCTGGCAAAAGACTTCCCACTGAAGCGGAATGGGAGTATGCTTGCAAAGGAAGTCTAAATCAAAGGTAACATTTCTAGGAATTTTGTGCCATTAGCTGAATGAAACGGTTTTTTCTCTTTCTTCTTTTTTTTTTTCTCTCTCTCTCTCTCTTTTTTTTTTCTCTCTCTCTTCTTTTTTTTTCTCTCTCTCTCTTCTTTTTTTTCTCTCTTCTTTTTTTTCTCTCTTCTTTTTTTTCTCTCTTCTTTTTTTTCTCTCTTCTTTTTTTCTCTTTCTCTTTTTTTCTCTTTCTCTTTTTTCTCTCTCTCTCTTCTTTTTTTATTCTCTCTCTCTCTTCTTTTTTTATTCTCTCTCTCTCTTCTCTTTTTTCTCTCTCTCTCTTCTCTTTTTTTTCTCTCTCTCTCTTCTTTTTTTTTCTCTCTCTCTTCTCTTTTTTTCTCTCTCTCTCTTCTCTTTTTTTCTCTCTCTCTCTCTGTTTTTCTTTTTTTTTCTTTATTATAATTATTGTAGAATTCAACTTTGGGCCTGTACTCGGTTGAGTTTTAGTTGCCACATCTTGGATGATTGCTGTAATATGATTAAAAAGTGATCCCCATTGTCAAGAGATGACTAAAAACAGTTGAAGAACTCATTCTGGCTTATTCAGATGCTTCAACAGCAAGACTGGGTGGCAACTACTAGATTTTGGGAATAAGAAGAATGCTCAATATGGCTCCTCTTGCCAACTAGATTAAGAAAAAAATCATAAATTACAGCTCTCAGACTACATTCCTCCCTGGCCAAAATATTTTGGTCAAGACTGGTCATCCCTGCAATGACCGTGTAAATAGTAGTAACCCAAGTCACAGCTAACTGGGAACAGGAGGACACGAAACACAACCTCCTTCTTAAAGCCTGTCTTTGATGTGAGTGGTTAATAAAATATTACATCATTTACACCTGTGGTTGGCAACATTTTACTATGTGCCAACTTAGGGTTTTAAAAATCATTCAGTGTGCCAACAGCAGACATATTTTTATGCAAGTCAAGGTCAATATACCTGTTCTACAATATATTTGTATAGTAATATATAGCATACAACCTTTAGTATATATTAAAGTTGAAACAGCTAAATATCTTCTTTGCATTGTAGCAGTTATTGGTTCAGACTTCGTTATGTCATTTGCAGCTGTGTGCCATTCAAAATTGCTTGTAAATATTTAAGTAAATGTTCTGTTTATAATAAACAGTATTAAACAACATTTACGGGCCTAAAAGTCCAAGAAATCTTTGTAGAAAATGTTCGTCCTTTTTAAGACATTAAAATAATTGTCGGACTTTGTCCATTTCATAATGTGTGACGTCATTTGTTTACATTTGGATGCTCATCGAGCAGATATGAATGTACGTGAGAAAACCATGGAAGATTATAGTTTAAAAGCAGTAAAATCGACCTTGCTAACCGAACAATCCTCTGTGGCCCAATTGGTTAGGGGATGTCAGGCTATATGATGGTTCTGTATAGGATACAGGTTCAATTCCTATCGGAGGATGAATATTTTTTATGAAAATTTTTCAGACATTCAGGCCAGTAAATGTTGTTCAATACTGTTTATTATAAACAGAGCATTTACTTAAATATTTTTGATCTATATAAAAAGAATGTATAAACATAAAAATGTCTTAAAAGAATTGTCAGACTTTGTCCATTTCATAATCAAATGTCTACTAAAATAATTGCCATCTGTTTTTTAGTGACCTTTAACACTTGTCACGTTTGTTGTCTTTTTGTCTTCAGATTATTTCCATGGGGCAATAAGGAGAATCCATACAACAAACATTGGATGAATATTTGGCACGGTGAATTTCCCAAACATAACACTGGAGATGATGGATATGTTGGAACAAATTCAGTTAGTATTTCCTCCTTTTATTGTAATAAACGTTATTTCCTTTTCTGTTTCTACTTTTATGAGAATATAAATATACATTAGTGTATAAAATAAAAGAAGAGTGGTTTTGTACTGTGTGTGTGTGTGTGTGTGTGTGTGTGTATATATATGTATGTATATATATATATATATATATATATATATATATATGTATGTATGTGTGTGTGTATATATATATATATATATATATATATATATATAAATACGTGTGTGCGTTAGTGTGTTGCCACTTTTGTAATATCAATGAATACTCATTGTCACTTTCATGATGCTCATTGTAGTAGAGACTTTGTAATTGCAGATACAACCTTAGTAACACCGTTGAACAATACTGGTGTCAGACACCTTTGAATAACAATCACACTAATAGTACTTGCTCACTCAGCAAGTAACCACCGAATAGTAATCCGTATAATGATCTGGGAAGAGTATAGTGGATAGAGATCCGTATAGTAATAGAGGATAGTGTAGAAAGAGTGATCCATATAGAAATAGAGGATAGAATTGAAATGGTGATCAATTAGACGCCATGTTAATTCCCATATATACATTTCCTTCATCATCATCTGGCCAGTAACATCACCAAAGTTAAGTAATATCAAACCAGTTCAGTACCTAGATGGGTGACCACTTGGGACCATGATGAGTGATAAGCTTAGATATATATAGGTGGTGTAATGGAATTGAAAATCGGAAAGCTAAGTTCCAATTCCAGTCGTGGTTGTTAAATTCACTTATATGCCAGGATCTCTTGAGAAAGGGTATGAATCCATCTCTTCTCTCTCTCTCCCTTCTACAGATTAATTAATAAAAACTTGTATCAGTAAATCATTATCATTTCTGAAAAATTCTTAGAATCTAAAAATATTTTCTGGCTTTAAATAACCTGCAAAATGTTGATAAGTTATGAAAAAACAATCAACCAATCGTTCCCCTACCAATGCTCATATTGGTTTTGGACCGTTTTTACACCCCAAAATTTAAAATATCAAATATCTTGTTTTTTTTTTTTTTTAGTACTGCTCAGTTAATTTCTAGCCCTATTTCCACAGAATCTGAGCCCACATACACAAATATATACTTACACATACATGTATATGCAATCATACAAATGCATGAAATTAATGGGCAAATGTTCCCCTTTTTATTGAAGGAAAGGAAAAACAAATATCTGTACTGCTGTTTGTTTTTGTTTTTTTTTTGTTGTTTTCTCCAACATTTGTATTCTGTTGCAGGTAACAATGTTTCCAGAACAAAACAAATTCAAGTTGAAAAATATTATTGGAAATGTGTGGGAGTGGACATCAGACTGGTGGGATGTTCGTCATTCTACAGACTTTCAAAAAGATCCGGTAAGCAAAATAATTTTTGCTTAATTTTTTTTTTCTCCCAGTTTTTCTTAATTTTTTTTTTTTTTTTTTTTTTTTTTTTTTTTTTTTTTTTTTTTTTTTCAATCATTGTGGGACTGAAATTGTGCAACTTCCTGGTGAAATCAGAAGAGCTCAATATGTGGAGGCGCTGAAAAGTTCTTGGTCTAACCAACTTCCTGACATCTAACTCAATGTCGAAACATTGAAATTTTTAAATTATTTTGTTTGTTTGTTTTTTTATATCTTTTTAAATCTTTTGGGCAAACTAAAAATTTTTCACCAGCTCATCCTGTTGACAGTAAAATCCACAATTATAGCAAATTAATGCATATATTCAATATGGTATTGTTCTCTCTCTCTCTCTCATATGTATATATATGAGATAAAGATATTTCATTTTTTTTTATATATATCTAGAACAATTTTAGGAAAAAGTGTATGACAAAATGGGAAAACTTTTTGTGTGATGCATTTCGTCCTTTAGGGCTTCATCAGACTAAGTTTATATTTACGTTGATGTGACTGAAAAACCCTATGAATCAAAAAATGTATTTTTCTACCCAATATATCACAACTACAATTGAAAATTTTTCAAAATTCAACATAAAATTTGTCACAATTACATCTAAAACAATCAGAGACTTAATTGATATAAAACAAAATAATCTAAAACTTGAAAGGGGAATTTACTCTATCACCTGTAATAATTGCCACAAGGAACACATTGGAGAAACCTCAAGACATTGAAATAAAAAAATTATATGAACACAAACGGGATTATTTTAGAAAACTGCACATGCATTAATTGCTCACCATGAGGAGACTGACGACAATTTTGATTTAAAAAAATGTTACTTTCATTAAACAAGAAAACAATTTACTAAGACAAAAATGTTGAGAAAGTGCTTTAGTCATTAGGTCATCCACAGTAAATTTGAGTCCGCATTCTTACAATGTTTCCACATCATTGGCAGATCTTTTATTATCACAATGTAGGATATTTAATGATGGAAACAAAAACCAAAAGAATTTAAATGGAAAATCGGATAGATTGTATACCCAAAACACATATTATAAAAAATATATATATTTTTTTTTTAAATTCCCTGCATCTCTCATTCATGTGAATGTGTAGTCGCAGCGTAGCCCTAAAGAATGAAACATGTCACACAAAAACTTTTTATTGGAAGTAGCATCCATATTAATAGCAATATTACAAACCAATGTATGTTTTCAATATGGCTTTGTCCTTATATTTAAATAATAATGGCTCTTCATCACTGAGTACACCCATCTGCTAGGGTTACTAGGTAATCTCTGTTCAGGCAAATTTCTGTTTATTCAACACTCAAAGAGCCCACCTTTGGTTTATACTGCAATAGTTGCAGTATTGAGTGGACCATAGTTACAATTTCTAGGAGAGAGAATATATAATCTAGCATGATCAGTAGTTTTAACAAGGTGAGTACATTCAGACCTTCGGTCCCGATGACTTCTTACTTCATGCTAGCACAACTATCAACAACTTCCAAATAGTTCTGTCTACCAAATTTCACTTACAAGACTTGGGCCAACTCCAGGTATGATATCCATGCACACTGGGATCACCTCCCCAGATCAATAACTTCAAGAAGTTACATCCCTGACAAAATGGCCATGGTAACATTGAATTGTCTCTCATTTTAACTTCATGCCTATATATAATGAAACATGTATAAGAGAGGGATTGCTGCCAAAATTACACACAAACACACACATACATATGCACCACATATTTGATTTAAAAGAACTGATCCGACGTGCAAATTTTTGGGATAACAACTGAGACATTACTCTACTTATTAAACTATTTGGTTCATACCACATTGACTGATAAATTCCTACAACAAAAAAATTCTTAAATTGCCATATTAGTAAAAAATGCACTCAAATTTAAAAAAAAAATTCAGCATTAGCATTGCGACTGCACACTCCAAAAGATTGTATCCATTATCAATAATACATTTAAAAAAAAAACATATTTCAATTTGCATTATATTTTTTTGTCTAAGATGCTACCTGAATTTTACCAACAACAAAATAATTTCCATGCCTGAAGATGACTGAATGTAGTCGAAATACTTGCGTATTTAAGAAAGACAGCTTAGAATTTTAAAAAACAAGGATCATAACATTCATCGAGTGATTAGTAGGTTAATGCATCTTCAAAATTTTGTTACTGAAGAGATTTCGCCATTTTATATTATTAACTTTACTAATTTACTTTTTTTCTATGAATGATTCATTGTAATATGTGTGTGAGTGCATGGAAGATGAGCATGAGTAAACACTTATGACAGTATTTCATTATGAATTGTTGCATCATTTCACTAGAGTTTTCTCTATTTACATTTTATTTTATCCAAATCATTGCAGCAGATTTTCAACTTTTTTTGCTAGGCATGCATGCATTGAAGACGCTAGCAATAGCAGCAACCACCTCTTCAGCTTTTAGGTATGTGTAAAATAAAACTGCATAGTGTGAATCTGAAAAAGCTAGCTTTATTTCTCTCTTTTTCACTTTATGACAAGTTCAAGATTCTTTTCCTTTTTATGTGCCATGTTCTTTCAGGATGTAGGTGATCATGGCTCTCCCCCTATCCTTTGTAACTTTCAATAAGTTATGTCCTTTTGTCACCTCCCCCAGACACATTTTGTCATCCACTTGCTTAAGCCTGCCAGGTATGTCGTACATTGTTTTCCCTTGTCTCTCTTTCCCTCTATTCGACATGTGAGTATCAGATTCTCCAGGCCCTCCTTCCTCATTATATGTCCCAGAAACTTTAGCTGCCTCTTCCTGATGTTAAGTATAAGCCTGCTCCTTGTTTGCATCCTCTCTAAGACCTCATTGTTGCTCACATGATATCCTTCTGTAGAACCACATCTCCATCACCTTGAGTCTCTTCTTCATCTTTGAGGAAATCGTCCAACATTCGCTGCCGTGAAGAAGGACATATGTCACGTAACAGCTCAGTATTCTTTTCTTTGTTACCAAAGAAATCCTCCTGCCTCGCAATATTCTGCCCAGCTTTTGGAATGTGTCCTTGGCCATCCCAATATGTCTACGGATCTCAGTGTTGCACTTAATGTCCTGTCAAAACGTTTCCCAGATATTTAAACTTCTGCATCTGCTTGATTCTAGTGTTCCTGACCTGCAAATCACATTTTGGGCTCTCCCTTTTACTGATGACCATGCATTCTGTCTTCTTGTAGTTTATGCTTAGTCCCTTCTTCTCGCTCTCCTTTGCTACCTTCTGTAGGAGAATTTATAGTTTCTTTTCCGTGTCTGCTATGAAGACTCGTCTGCGTATCTTATGTTGATAAGATTGTGATCGCCAATCCTGAATCCCGGTAGGATTTCCAATTCTATCAGAATTGCCTTGTATAGGTTGGATACCAAAATTTTCACTCCCTATAAATAGATGCACATGGCTTAGACAATACGCATCATTCACTCTATAACTCACTAACAGATACGTTCAACTTTTTCTTCATATTTTTTTTTTTATAGAGATTCTCTTAGGAACATTCCTTGAATTTGTCCATTCTTGAAATTTTCTCTTCACAAAACTTCTATCTTGTTTCATTTCACTCTCATTAGTCTATTTTCTCAGCCAATTCAACGTTTTTAGCTTTTGTTCAGCACCTTCTTGGCTTCAAACAATGACCCTAAACCTAACAACATCATAAATCAAACTCGTTTAAAAATTTTATGCACTTAGCATTTTCTTTTTCATTTTGAATTTGAGGAACAAATTCTGTTTACTGCTTCTTATTTTAAAATCATTTCCATTTTCTAACGTCTTCGTATTTTTGTATTTCTTTCTAGAAGGGACCACCTGATGGATCGGATAGAGTGAAAAAAGGGGGTTCATTCCTCTGCCACAAGGTAAGTTGATTTTTTGGAGATGACAGGTATTATTTTTTTTCTTTGAGAGTCAGGGTCAAATCATGTTATATTAGTGTAATGTTAGCATAGTCAGGCACAAGGCCAGATGTCAGGAAATTAGGCTAGAAAGATCGTTGTATCAGTCTTCTAAGTGTGGAATGCCAGCCTTGAAAATCAGCATTACAAACCCCAGTTTTCATCTAGGTTAAATACTACTCTGCTGAAAATGCACAACTATTTTTATATAGTTTACTAGCAGCATGGCCCGGCATTGCCCGTGCTTGATTCAAAAATTGTATGATTCATACAGCAAACGCTATCACTTGACTTAAAATATTTTTGCCCTTCCTTGCCTTTAAAGGATTGCTGTTTGCCATGCTAATGTTGCTACATGCCTTACTTCTTGCCTATCTCACACTGTGAATTTTTTCTAAGCTCTATACTAAACATTAAATGTTATGAAAAAAGAACTAAACAAAATGAACACAAAACAATCAGCTTTAAAAAAGGATTCGTAAATGGAAAAACCGAATGAAAAAAGAATGTTAACAACAAATACTTTTTCACACCCAACCCAGTTCTGCGGAATCAGAATCAATGTTGAGTTTAAGCAAGCGAATGAGCCAATTGGAGTAAAGTGCCATGCAGATTTAAATTTTTCCCACTTGTGACGGATGCAGCTATGGATTTTTTTTTTTTTTTTTTTGCATCCTAGCATGCTGGTTAACATTTGTGTCAGTCAGCTGTTGGCTCTCACGCTGGCCAATAGAATCTTCCTGCCTATTCTTGGCAGCCAGCTATTGGCTCTCACTCTGGCCAGTACAAAATGGCCGCAAACTACATGAAAATTACTGTAGAAGCATGAAAAAATTGATTATTTCCACTATCGATGGGAGTTGAGAAATACAAAGTCAGTCTTGGCCTTCCCACTAACTTGGAGCGTGTGCATGTAAATTTTGGTGCAAATCTCTCAAAAATTGCGGCTGTGCATTCGTTACACACACACACACATCCTGCCTTTTATAGATAGAGATTACGATTGTGTAAAAGTCTCTGTTATTTATTTATGGTTTTCTACTGTAATATTCAGTTTCTACTTCCTTAGAAAAATGGGCTGGGAACTTTTTCAAAAACCTGTAAAGGATCTTAGTTTATTCTGAAAAAAAAGAAAAATAGAAAAGGCGCAATTGAAAAGCACCCCTGGTGAAGATTGAATTTCTTCAATATTTGTCTGTATTTCCATGATGACATATTGTAACTATTTACACTATTTACATCATTCGGACTGTTGTCCTCATCTTTATTACCATATTCACATTTCAGCCTTTGTACGCTCTTGGTAATATCTGGGCTGTACCAATTCTTCAACATCTGTCTATATTTCTGAGATGAGTTATTGTAACTATTTACACTATTTACATTGTTCATACTGTTGTCCTCATCTTTATTGTTATATTCACAACGTTTCGGCTGTTGTACTTTCTGACCTTCTTCAGGTGATATATATTGGAATTTCAAACCAAACTCAATATTTAGTCTGTGGCGGTATTGATGGCATAAATCAACCCGCACATTTTTTTACTTTACGAATGTGTAAGAAAACAAAAAGAAAACAAGAGAAAGAACACAAGAAAATAACTTTTCATAACAGGTACAATATTTATAAATGACAACAGTTTTACAATAACTATTAATATGAGTTACTTCCCTTTGACTGGGTTAAAGTCTTTACTACTAAAATATTTTTTACCTGAGCTCACAAAAAGTTGGATTATCTTGTCACTCAAAATGTTCACTGAAAGAGAGTTTAAAGAATCTTGTAAAGCTGAAAATATGTTGATAAACTTTTAGCTTTAAAGAAGTTGGAGAAGTGAATGTTCCGTAATGTCTAATTTGTTTTCGTTGCTCGTAGTTGAATGTATTGTTCATAATTGTTTGTACTTGAGTTTCGTAAGATTCAATAACGTGATTGAATAGTTTTTAGTAAGTTGCAGAAGTTGGTGAGTGAGTTGTTTTGTTGAAATTTTAGCTTGAATTTCAGTGAAGTTATTTCGTCTTAAAGAACTTGAGATTCTAACTTTGTACTTCGCTGCAGTAATGATACAAGCGCTGTGAACTCGTTTAGTAAATTCTTACTGACTGGATTCACTCGTACCTTCAATTTATATGTTTTTTAATCACGTGACTGGATTCTGAGAGCATTGTTTTATCGTCAGGTCAAAAACAAGGTTGATGTTATTCGGACATAGTGGTGAGCAGGTAAATTGTTTTTTTTAATATTTGTTAACCACTCAGAAAGCACCTTACAAAACTCAGTCTGGAGCCTGATATGTTTTGTTTTGCTGATTGAGAAACAATGTACATGAAGATACACGAGATAATTTTAATATTTGTCCAATGAGAAGTTAAGGTTTTTAGAAACATGTATGAAGCTGTGATCCGCTTTTTGCACGAAAATCGACATTGATGAAAAAGTGGTAGCAGAAAGCTAAAAGTCCACAGAGGGTAGATTGTTCAAAAGCGCTATAGAAAAACAACAGAAATTGTAATATGAGCACTGGTAAAAATAATTACTAAGACATTAGATTTATAAGTCCCAAAACTTTACTCACTAGCCCAGTGGATAAATGCGTTGGTTGAGTAATCCAAAATGTGATTTTACCCATATAGTTGCGTGTTCAATACCTGGCCACAGCCGATGGAACAAAAAACTTGGAGAGTTGAGTTACTAAAGGGAATTAACTGAAATATCCAAAAAAGGCATGGCATGTGGAATTAGAACAATCTATCCCTGTGGACTAAATAAATGGTTCAGTTTGAATTCCAACTTATATCACCTGATGATAAGACTGTACAGCAGCTGAAACATTCTGAATATGACAATAAAGATAATGATCAGGCTGAACAATTTAAATAGTGTAAACTGAATTTCTTGCAGTTATAATTGTCTACAAAATAAGTTTGGTATAACAACTAGGAACTTTCAGTCCATGCTGTAGAAGTATAAAGTGTTTTTTCTATTATCAATGTCTTGCAATAATCAGTCATTTATTGGAACTGACCTATCAGTAAGGTATGCCACCAATTTTCTGGCAGCCTTAGTTACAGTGCCATGCAGGAGTATCTGTTTAGTTAAACCAAAAGAAGTCCTGTAATAATAATTCAATGATACACACTGCCTGGCCCCCTAATTATACATCCTTCTTATCTCTGCAGCTGCATCAACTGTTACAAACCTGCATTGGGATCTAATATTTTTTCTTTCACTTTTTGTTGCATTGAGATCAGCTGCTGCTTGTACATGACACCACCACAAACGTTTTCGCTTTGCTCGGACGACATAACTACAGTTAAATATAAGATAAATAGGCTTGTGTTTACATAAAATTGATGGAGGCGCTACCAACCACACAAATGATTTGTACGACACACAATGCCACTTGTGAATTAGTCTGGCAATCTTGTGAAACTGAAAATGCTTGCTCATAATTTTGTCCAGATTAATAGAGGTGTGGAGTCATCAGTTACAGATAAAATGGCAGTGCACCTGTATTATCCTTTTAAATGATATATGGTCAGCAGCCTTTCTGTTAAACATAATTTGTTTAATTCATTTTTTATTTAGTTTTTCCCGTATTCTTTATTTTTTTAATCAAATTCACCCCAAGCAAGGCAGTAAAGCCATTAAGACACCTGGGATTACAGGGTGCAGAAGAATTAGGAACAAAAACATTAATGATGAGTGGGAAGAGAAAAGAGTAATCAGGAGGACAGTAGAAAGCAATTGAGATTGCATTTAAATCTCTGCTGATTAAAGTTGGCTGGAAAGCATGGAGCTGGAAGGGAGTTCCACAAGAGAGAAGGGCAAGAAAAGAAACTGTTAGCATAGAACTTACGGTTACATCTGGCCAGCTCAAATGTAAATTGATGTGATCTCTACAACAGTCTAGTACTGCACTTAAATTAAAAAAAATGTCTAGGTACCATAGCGGAAAGCTCATCTGAACAATTACCATGAAAGTACATAGAGAGGCAACCTTTTGCTGGCAGGAAAGTGACTGAAGCCGCACCGCCAGATGAGAAACATTTTTTTTCCATTTTGTTGGGAGTAAGGGAGTGCAAAAATTGTCTATTATCCATTGTCCCAAGCACTTTCAGACACTTCTTTAGCCATTTTCAAGGAGGTTTTGTTTTTAGGTGCTGTTAATTTCTCTTCGTATTTGACTGGTTAAAATGTATTTTTGTATTCTTTTGAATAGTAGTAGGAGCGTTTATTCTGAGCTTTGTTTGTTGAGCACAGCTGGAATTCATATACAGGGGGGGGGGTCCTCGCCTTACGTCAGAGATCTGTTCCTGTGGGTCAGAACTCTACTACATAAGCATCCACTAGTCTGCTTTATACTTGGGAACCATAATTAAGGGCAAAAAATTCCCCCAAAATATGACACAGACGAGTGTTAACAAATGTAGGACAATTCAATATGGCATACAGCTGGTGAGGAAACAACGCCATCTTCCTCATATAGTGCCACACAGTGACATATTGTATTATGGGAGAGGGTGCCATAACCACAAAATGCCATATGTTGAGTCCAAGGACCACCTTCTATATATATATATATATATATATATATATATTTATTATTTAAAAAAAAATATGATTCCAAATCGCGACATAAGAAGTCCCATGTTTCAAAACAAGAGCCGAAAACTTCAATATAATTATTTAAATTATTTAAATTAAATTGAGTTAATTTATGCTCTACTTTTGTATCGAGCACTATTTTTTAAAAATAATAACTAAAATACTAAGGGACTTTGGATTATTTACCTAACGAGTTCCTTCCTATTTTCTATATATTTTCACACACATATATATATATATATATATATATAGTTTTAAGATATGCTATTTATAGGTTAAAGTGCTCAATATCAAGGATAGTGTATGTAAATATAAAAATGGGCCCTCGACACCCATTGGTGAGAGTCTGTTTCATGCATTTAAGCATGCACCAGATCGTTACTGCTGGATGTTGACCTCAATATCCCCTGTTAAAAATGTCAGATGATGCACTCTCTCTTCCAGAAACTGTAATTAAGGTCCGTATAGTTTTAGTATTAACAATAGGTTGGCTCTGTGGGTATTGAACAAATGGAAATGTACCTAAGCAGGTGGCTTGTTTTATTTTTTATATACTTATATATACTAATATTCACCCATTATAAGGCTCAAGAGTCACTCAAGGTAGAGGATTACTGTGTGTTGTTGTATAGGCATAAGAAAAAAGCACAAAATGCTGTTCATGAAGTTATGCAGGAACGATAATAGTTAATCCTAGAATTGAAGAGGTCAAGATTGTAGTGATTGGGAAAACATTCTTTTGAGAATCTAATTTACAAAGCATCAGTTCTTGGGAAGAAGCTGTCTGAGTGGAACTTGCTTCTTATGATAGCACTACAAAGGGAATGGAGTTGATTCATCCTTCCGTACTTGACATAGTGGGTCCCAGTTGTAAAAATATATATATATATATATATATATATATATATATATATATATATACATATACACACACACACACACACACACACAGGCATTAAATTTAATTTCTTTGTGGAGTTTTTAAACATTAAAATTACTATCAAACATTAAAATCTGTTTTTATCTAAATTGCTAAAGCTATACCACCCCTCTCCTTCCTCCAAAAAAACCCTACGTTTATCTCTTATATCTTTACTTCCCTCCTTTTTTCTTTTTTCCTTTTCCCATATTCTTTCCATTGAGTTGACTGATTAAATAGGTCAACATCTGATCCTTACCCCCTCCTTCCTCGAGATTAAGTATTATAATAAAAAGAAATATAAAAATAAATTTTAAAACTCTCCCTTCCCTCTCTAAACTCAACCATATCTCACAAACCATTCCTCACCACCTTCTATGTCAAATTATATAAGCTTAATACTGCTGGTCAAGTGTAAATTTTAAATTCATTTTTTGTTTCATCTTTTGAAAGTGAAGTCTGAAGATCTAGAGAAAAATAAAATTCTCTGGTGAAATAAATTATTACAAATGGAACCTTAAAGTGGTCAGTTTTCCTTTCATTTAATTTATATATATATATATATATACATATATATATGCCTCCAATGCATTTGCAGTGCTCAAGGTCTGTATCTGGAGTCAGAAGGGCATAAAAAAGCAGATAAAAATTAAAATATATAATGCTTGCGTTATGTTATCTCTGCTATATTCATGTGAGATATGGGTAGTCTATTGCAGACATCTGAAGATTTTGGAACGTTTTTCATCAACGATGCCTTTGGTCTGTGCTTGAAATCCACTGCATATCTCACACGCCTGATACTGTTGTTCTAAAAAGGGCCAATTCACTCTCTGTGGATGCACTTGTACACAAATACAGATTGCGATGGAGAGGCCATGTTATTCGTATGGCAGATGACAGAATGCCAAAACAATTAATGTATGGAGTATTGGAAATGGGAAAAAGACTGCAGCACAAGTCCATACTTCATTACAAAGATTACCTTAAAGAGTCACTATACAATTGCAATATTGGTTTGGATAACTGGGAGACTCTAGCTAAAGACTGGGTTTCTTGGAGAACTGGTATTGCTGATGGCGTCAAGATCTTCCATGAGGCATCATAAAAATATGCTGAACTGACAAGAGGGGTTCGGATGGGATCCCTTAATTTCCATGTGCCCAATACAATTGAATATGTCTGTTCAGTTACCAGAAATCACACCAACACCAACACCAACAGTCTATTGTATATGATGATTTTGTAAATGCATGCTTTGAATACCCGACCTGCACTAAGATGTGCAAGTCCAGGTCAAGCCTGACAAGACATAATGAAAAGGCACATTGGAAGTGATGATGATGATGAAAGTCAACTACCACCACCCAGAGATGATTTGATATACCACATATGTAACAAGAAATGCAGATTGATGACTGGCTTTATGAGCCACTGTTGTTCACAAAACCAATGCAGAGTGGTCGGGGTGGGAGGATTAACTGAAGTACTGGACATGTCAGTGATGGTCATACTTGCTTTGTGAGTTAAGTCACTAAATATATATATATATCTAGCCGCATCCCTCTAGTAACCACTTTCAGCCCCACTCTGCCTCCACTATCCCAAATAATCAAACGTTGCTGGGAAATACTACATCTCAAACCAGACCTAAAAAAATTGTTTAAGGAACCCGGGCCTTCTTGCATATTGTAGACCTAAGAACCTAAAAGAAATCATAGGAAGTAACCACATTTCAGGGGACAAGATAATCCGTAATGAACTGAGAACAAAAACAACAGGATTTTCCCAACCATGTAACAACAAAAGTTTATGTTGCAAGCTTATTAAACACACGAATTCATTCACTAGCTCAATCACTAAATCTACTTTCAAAATCTACTACGATTCTAACTGTAGTAGTCATAACATAATTTACCTCCTAGAATGCACACTATGCCAGAAACAATATGTAGGAAAATCTGAATGGCCCTTTCATTACAGAATTAATAATTATCGCAATCAAATTAAGTCGACTCCCCATGATTAATTATTACCTGTAGAGCAACATTTCCGCCTGGAAAAATACGATTTCAAAACCCATGCCAAATTCACTATAATTGAGAGAATAGAAAAGTTCAGAGCAGATAACATTAGAAAGATTTTAGAGTCCCATGAAAATAAGTGGATACAACGTCTAAAAACACAATATCCAGCCGGGCTAAACCATAAATTTAACAATATAGATAGTACTAATATATAACTCAACAAATCAAAACCTACCCACATTTCTCACCCACACAAAACAGACATGCTTACGGAGGTCTGGAGGCCTCACACTTATACACACACTTACACACGTCATACTCACTCACTCCCTAATGAGCCAAATGATAACACACACCCACAGCAATACACACGCTTACACATATCATACTCACTCACTCCCCAAAAAACAAATAACACACACACAAACACTAAACAGAGACACATCCCCTCTTCAGGACTAATAAAACTGTCAAACTGACCACAGGAATTCAGAGAAGCATAGATCTATCAAGCTCTTATCTCAAATAACAACTTAAAAGAGACTGACCAAAACAAGGAATGTTAAAAGATTCATGTTAAAAAGATAAAAAAATAAAAAAAACAAATGAAAACTACAGACAAAAGTTCATTTTCTCCATCAAGACATTCATTTCTGTAGTTCACTGCTACCAGCAAGCAGAAATATTTCTCCTCCCGATGATGGCCATTTTGGCCAAAACTAGTCAAGGAATCTAAATGAAATAATAATAAAAAACGAAAGAATGTTAATCTACAACCCAGTGTGTTTGAAGATTTTAATTTTTTAATATTTTTTTTATTGTTCAAAATATATATATATATATATATATATATATATATATATATATATATATATATATATATATATTACACAATGAATACTGGTGGCAATAAAAAGGTGGTCAGTGTCCATATGCATCAAAAGTAAAGATTTGAAAATAAATTTTGTTTCTCCAGTGTGGAATTGAAACCTTACATTCTACATAACAGACTGGAATTCTTACCAATTTATTCAATGATTTTTGTTGTATAATCTTTTGAAAAACTTGGAACTTTGTGCCTGCAAAAAAAAATGGAGTCCCAGGACTGTTTTTCCATTGACATCACTATTATTTGAACTGCTTTCATTCCTCCGCAATGTTTGTTGTTTTAAAAAGTCATAATTAAAATTGTAATAAAACCTAAACATATGAAAGTGAATTTAAACATTTTTTCTTTGTTCTTGAGAATTTGCAACAAAAATATTAAATACTATTTAATTATTAGGTTGTTTATTTACAAGAATAATTTTATATTTACAACATTATAAAAACTATTACAATTAAAACAAATGCATTGCAATATTTATCATTTCCCAATATATAAAGAAATAAATATGAAAACAATTTCTTATTCATAAATTTATAAACATTTACTAAATTATTAAAATATGTGGACCAACTATAAGCAATATAGTATATTATTATTTGTTTATTTTTGCTGTAGATTCTCAAGAACAAAGAAAATGTATAAATTCACTTTCATCATATGTTTAGGTTTTATTACAATTCTAATCATTGCTTTTTAAAACAAACATTAATGAGAAGGGAAGGTAGTTTTTTTTTTTTTTTTTTTTTTTTTGTGGGTACAAATGTCTAAGTTTGCCAATCTTTTGTTGTATTTAATTTAATCTGCTACAAGATCAAATAATCGCAAAAACCAATCTTAATCTCTTAAACCAATCTTCTGAGTGGAGATGATCTGTTTGCCTTGAAAATCAGCATTTAATCACTTAGCTTCTACCTGGGTTTGAATGCTGAACATTTGCATGTTACTATTATCCCCCACCAAACAAACTAATGTCTTTCTACTCACCTACTGTCACTTTCCCATAATAGTTGTGACATTTAATGTATGAAATGTGTATGCAAATGTCCCAGCTATTATGGGACAGAGCTAGTATTAGTGTAATCCTTAAAATTGTTATTTGAGGCGCCTGCTGTAGTGCAAGGGTTAACAAGTTTGTCGGATGCATCAACACTGAACAAGTTTATAAACATTTTTCTTTCTTTCTTCAGAGTTACTGCTATCGGTACCGTTGTGCAGCCAGGAGTCAAAATACACCTGACAGTTCTGCATCTAACCTGGGATTTCGCTGTGCGAGCTCAAAACCTCCACCCGGGGTAGAAGCAATTCATTAGACTGCAATCAATTTTTTTTTTTTTTTTTTTTTTCTACCTGGGCATTCTTCAGATTCCAGCCTATTGCAAAAATTTACCATTATATCTGAATTGAATATATCTTCATAGCATAGAAAATATAAGAATTCAGATAACAAGTAAAACTTAAATCAACAATATAACTATTGAGTAAAATTTTTTGTTAAATTAAAATAAAACTTTCATTCACTCTTAATGATTATATACCATATTTTTCAGCTTACAAGACGCACTTTTTTTCCTAAAAAAAAAAAAACAATACCCCAAAATATGTGTGCATCTTCCAAGATAAATGTAAATGCTCAAGTAAGCTTGGATGGTCACCTAATTGGCTTGACTGATAAGGACATGGATTTGTATGTTGAGTCATTACGCTCTATTGTTAGCTATATAATTCAGCCTTTTTTATGGTGTAACCTCATATTCTTACTTAGCTGTTACAAGTATCTCCAAGACTATAAACCTTCCTGGAGCCGATCCACAAGCTTAAACATGCTCTGTTTCCTATCAGTGGTAGGAACCTTTCTGCTCTTGACTAGTATGTCATTGGCATACAAACAAAATCAGATGAGTGATTAATGTAAACAATGTGTGGTGCTAGTATGTAAGGGATGCATGATGAATGTCTTGTATGAGAATAACCTTTTTTTTTTTTTTTTTTTTTTAGAAATTTCTTTCCAATATGAGCACAGTAAATACTAAAAGCATCTATAAGAATTTATTTTAAATTATTATACTATGGAAATACATTACTACTACTGGTCATTTATGTAACCTGTCTTATCAAAGATAGGATTTATTAAACAAATCCATCAAAACTTTCATTCATTCCAATGATCTCTCTCTCTCCCTCAAACACACACGCATATTAAACAAGAAATATATAAATATATTGTTTATTTGGGCAGCAATCCCTCTTTTATACAAGTTTCATTAAAAACGACTGACAAGGTACTGTGGTTAAGTTTATTATTTAATTTTTCTTGTGTTCTTGGAATTTTTTTATTTGCTGGACAAAAAAAATATGTAGAAATTGTCTTAATGTACTGTATGTTCAAGGGCTTTTGGCTATACTTTTAGCCATTATCAAGGATGATTTTATTTTTACTTTTAACTGAATGTATGGATTGTTTTATGTATGTATCTAGAGTTATAGGAATGTTTTATTTTCCAAGCATGCTCATCACATTATGGCCATGTTCATAGCTGATATTATTGAATATTTATATAATTATGAATTTGGATTATGTTCCAGACCAATCCAAATTCATAATTAATTGGATATACTACAACATACCTAACAAAAAGGCTCACATTACATCTCTGACCATAACTCAATTAGGTCTCCTTTAAATACACATAGAGACCTACCAAACACTATCTACAACATACGTGTTGATAATACGAATATAATAGCCTCATCCACATGTAAAAACGTCTAAAAATAATGGAAGCATTATTAATAAAAAAGAAAAAGCCAACACTCAATATTAGCACAACTGCCAAGCAAATTTAGCAGTAGTGCCACCTACATTAAAAAAATGGCCTTCTCTAATTATTCAGAACAACACAACACGCATCTTAGTCAAGATCTTTTTCCTTGTCCACCTGTTTCTTTTCTACATGTCTAAAATATTGACCTATTAAGGAATTCACCTTTGATTCAAGCAAATATGCTGACATTTAGTCTGAGAAATTTGCTGCATGAGAGAAAGTTCCACTTGTTTTTTTTTATAGGGTTGGGGGCTCAACAAAGCAATTTTCAAATGAGTGTTATCATACAGGAATATGTCTTTCTAGGCAGTTTCTCTCTCTCTCTCTCGTAAAGTGTCCTTTTTATTCCTCCAGTTCCTGCTAACAGTTTCACTTTGTATTCTCAATGTGGAAATCATATCCTACCAAATAGAGAGCAATAACCAAAGCTTTGCTGATGTTGTAGAATATGTTGGAACAATCTAGGATTAGTTTTTAACCTCTAGATTATCATTGTATATCCACTTCTAACCTCCAATAACAATCTTCCACAAAAAAGTTTTTTTTTCTTTTCTTTATTTTTTTCTTCTTTATTTTTTTCTTCTTTATTTTTTTCTTCTTTATTTTTTTCTTCTTTATTTTTTTGTTCATATTTGACAAGAAATGAAATGATGCTGATGAGACACTATCCAATGTTTCAATGCGACAATTCCTGTGAAACATATTTTGATGCGTTTTGCAAACATCATTCAGTGATTGGGACCACACCAAGCTTTTCAGCCGATTCCAATGTTAATTGATTGGGAGAGAGGGGTTTTATCACCCAAAATCCAAATTTCATAGTCAACTGCTGGGTGGTTTGTCCTTGAAGTTAGATTCACAGTTCTTGAACTTCACAAACCAACTTGAAAAGAAACAATATGCAAGATTATATGCAAGTCTTGTCCACAGCCACTTTTCTCTACGAACGGTTAATGAATAGTGAATATAGAAATCTCAAAACAAGTTTTTTTTTCTGCTCTATACTAACTTTATAGTTTTCACTGGGATCTAGGAACTTTTGCATGCATGTAATAAATTATTGACATTGAAAATTCAAATTTCATTGCAGTCTCTAGTGTGTGAAAGGATAATGTCTATAAGTAAAGAAGAAAGACCTTTTGCAATTTTCCATTATCTGATGAAATGCTCAGTGTTTTTTTTTTTTAAAAAGATCTTGCTGACAATTCTATTTTTATGAGAAATAAAACAAAAGACTTCAAAAATATTTACTACAAAAAATCTCTTGTCTGTTGTTTTATTAAAATCTGGTAAGGTTTTTTTTATCTGTTTTGTTTTTATTTGGTCTCTTTTTATTTTACTTATTTTCTGTCTCATTATTTCTGCCTTTGTTTTATTTTTTCTTCTTCTCTGCTTTTCTTTTTCTTCTCTCTGCTTTTCTTTTTGTTGTCAAACATTGTTTTTCATTTTCTAACCTACTCATAGCACATGTATTGTGTAGTGTCATAGGGAAACATTTTGAATTAAAAATTTCTTTTCAGGATAAGAATTGGGGAGGGTGTGTTGATATTCAACAATATCCAGAGTTTGTTTATGAATTGTAAGTGTGTGTCTTGGATGTCAAAATAGGTTAATATGATGACCAGTATGCCCCCCCTCCACCACCAACAACAACAACAGCAACTCAGAAAAGGAAAAATAATTATCATCTTTTTAAAATACATTCACAAATATAGGAAAAATTCCTGTTTCCTTCAGTTTGCAACAAGTTAACTGCTACCTACTCAATCGTATAAAATATTTTTTTAAAACAGAAATGACCAGCAAATTCAAACGGACATTCTTATTATTTGCAACACAGGAAAAATCTGATCAAAGCAATTCCAAAAACTGGCATATAAACGTTTTTGGGAATTGTTATCCTCCAATTTAAAATACATTATTTCCCACTTATCAGTATTTTAATTTTTTTGTTTCATTTATTCTGCAGGCAATGCCAGAAATAATGCTGTAGAATTGCTCTGCAGATAATGTCAGAAATAAGCAATTCATATGTTTTTACTTAATTAGTACAAGCGGTATGATGCTAGCAATCTAGATTTACCAAAAAGAAATCGTAACTTTAGAATCGTAAAAGTAGAATGGTGAAAATTCTAAGCTTAATAAGAAAAGAAAAACAAGTATAGCATTTTTGCTAAGATCTACAGTAAGAATGAATCTTCTTTTCATCATATCTTATTTTACAGTAAATTATTCTCTATTTTATACTTTATTATTACATTCTTGTGCCTAAATTATGAATTAAATTTGCTATGCCTCTGTAATTTGTGTTCACTTGTGAGTGAATTCATGTCATTGTCTTTCTTGCCAGTTTTTTTACTTTGGCAACAATAAATCTCTTCTTTCCTCTATTTCTCATGCACTTATCATGTCCACTACAGAAAACTCACACTCGACTATGTGATGATCATAGGATCTTAAATGATTTCCCCCTTCAGTAATGCAATTTTTATATTTTTTTTTTTTTTTTTTATGGTTGGAAATTTGCTTGTCACCAGCAAAATCTTGTATTTGTGAAAATGTAACAATCTTATTCGCCTCATGAACGGCCGTCTCATTGCCCCCACTCTGGATTTTTTGAAGTCTTTGTGCCCATGGTAAGTCATTTTTTTTCTTTATTTGCTTTTTCCTGCAGTTCTCAAACAATATCTATAGAAAAATCCTAGTCCCAATGATTGCAGGCCCTGATGAGAAATCTTGGGATATTTTGGGACATTGTTAATTGTTAGGAAAAAATGTTTTGTGAATAATCTTGGTTGTAAAACCAATAAATCCATTTTATAACAAAGGAATAACAAAGTGAAAGGAATGAGGTCAGAAATTATTGAAACAATAAAAAGTTGAAACATCAACAGAGAAAAGCTGTGCCTTTGCATAAACCGAGGTTGAGATTTTAATGCAAAACTCTGCTCAGAAAATTTAAGCATCTATTGAAAACTGTTGTATCCGACTATTAACTTTAGCTATGAAGCCTCAATCTTAATTAAACAAGAAATTAACACAAAGCTATTATTTTTTTAAATTACTGTAAGATATTTGAGGATCAACAGGGCTTTGATATGGTGATTAAAATTAATATGTGTACGGATTGCATTAAATTTTAGTCGGTGATAATCTGCCATACTTAGTTTTCAGCAGATTAATTTCTTTATCGTTACTTTTTATCATCTTCCGTTTCACGGGTGTCTATTGTTTTCTTGGATAAAACGAAGATTAGAAAATTCGTCTGGCTAATATTTATGGGCAAAGAACTTGTATTCAGTTTATATCTGTTAGGGGACATAACTTGTACTTTATCCACACATTTCAGAGTAGTTTCCCTTTGTATTTGAGTACAGCTTTCTTTAGCTGTTAGTGTTTTTAATTCTCTAAAACAAAAAACAAAAAAAAAATAAAATCTGAGGATCGTTTGACCTCTCAAAAACCGGTATACAATCTTTCTGAAATTA